TTCACCAACAGTTACAAGCAAATAGCTGTTTATAGAAGTTATACAATGCTTCTTCCAACAAATCCCAAATCAATTTTGGGAAGCAGGTAAAGCCACTGGGTAAATAAATATTCCGACTAGCTAATATAAAACAATTTATGATTACGAACTGTCATCAGTTCTTTTAGGATCCAAGAAGAAATATTGTGATAAATCTGATTAGGGATACATATATTACATGGAATTTTAAAAACAACTAATTAAAACAGCCTAACAATGACAACAAATATTTAAAAGAATGTCTTAAAAGTCAGATATTTATCACTGAAAATAGCACAATTTTCTTATGTACTTCAGAGTTGTAATGTGTGCATAGGTCACTTTTGCTGTGTGTCATCATGGACCCATCTCTCTCCTGCATTCACTACAATTAGATTTTAAGATTTTGTTTCCCGTGTGAGCTGATGGGCTGGCACATCTCAATTAAAAAAATACACACCTCCCATTAACTAAATGGAAGTGTTAAATATCCATTAACAGATAAAAAAGGTAATGGGGAGATTTTAAATTTTGTACTAACAACTTTAAAATTACCCAAATAAAGTGATGAAGAAATAATATATTAATTTGGTCTAAAGAAATGTTCTCTGGCCATATAAAATTGCCCTTATTTAGCTTTACAGAAGCTTGTTATGCTTGATTTGTTTATCAGCTGATATAAAAGAATACTCCTAGCATGGGATTGAAAAGGACTTTACCATTAATAAAAGATAATTTAAAAGTTGCTTTTTATTATTAAAGTGCACAGAGGCACAGTGGTATAGGTGCTTACATTTCCCTTTCAGTTATGGGAAGGCCCTTTGGGACTGTATTTAATCAGAACAGCTTTCAGCAAATACGATGTAGGCTGAAAGTTCAGATCTTATTTATGTTTTGGGTTTTGCTGTTTGAGCATAAAAAAGAAGGGAGCAGGGAGAAATGTAACTAGGTTCACAATTTTGCGCAAGAGCATATGTAAAGGTAACGTATGTACATTTTATTTCAAGAAAGACATAAGACAAACAGCATAAAGATGCCCAGATGCCCTAAAGATAAATACATTTCAAAGATTCTCATTAAAACGAATCTGTAGTATTTTTTCCTACAAGCAAAATACCTTTCTTTAAATTAAAAAAAAAAAATCTGAATTGCAAATGCTTTTGCTTTTTTTTTTTTTTTGCAGAAAATCTGCCATGATTATTTTTTTTAATGAATAAGGATTTTCCACAAAACAGGCTTGCTCTACATGCTAGATTTTAAACAGTTCAGTGACACAATATGCTAACTACATACACAACAGATAATATAGTAAGAAAACACTCAACCTGATGAAAAGTTAAAATCTTCATTAATACACTGAAAACTGACATAACTCATGCCTTTTAAAATCAAAAATACAAAAATTAAATGTTTTCCTAAAAAGATTTCCTTATTTTAAGGATTCATTTGAAAATGAAGCTGCATGTAATTTGTACAATAAGTTGTACAAGTAAACAGGTAATATACATAAAAAATTAACTGACATACTCCTCAATTATCAGTTGTCCACCTTTAATTTCCAATACTGTACTTTCTTAACAAGCATACAAAATATCAAACTTCTCTTTAGAAAAAGTGCCGTTCTTTGACATCCTTTACACAAAAACAGTCTAAGCCTGTGGTATGTTAATGCAGTTGAGAGGCAAAGCATACTAACTTTTACAAATTCTACCTTCCATAAAAAGCCTCCCGAACAGGAGATTACACACCACTATAAAAATATCAACCTCTTGTGGTAGCTGCATTAGAGAACCAAGGCTTGAAGACTATTTTCATATAGCATAGAAAACCACTATGAGAGCCTATTAACTGCATTGGTGGCTTGGGAGTGTACTGTGCCACAGGATTATGCATAGCTACTGTTAGGTACCAAGACTGTTACACAGAGTTTTAAACTGATTGTAACTGAGAGCATAACAGAGGTACTACCAGCCCATGCAAAGTAACTAAAAATACTGAGTCACTGTGCTGCATACTTCATTCCTGGAGAAAACCAAAGGCAGCAGTAACTAAATCAAGCCCAACAGGTGACTAAACTTTTCTCCTCAAAGATTGGTGAGCACAGTGAAGTCTGAGGTATACCTTTATCCATTAAATCTGTGTGCCGTTGCAAGATATTACCATTTGGGAATACACGCCATCACAATGGTTTAAATCTTTTGAATATTAGTCATCATATATATTCTTATCTACCCAGTCTCTTGATTTTTAAAAAGATTTCACCTACAGTAGAATATTACAGAAACAAAATATAAATGCATGTCTTTTTAAATGAAACTTACATGGACTAAAAGTAGAGAATATTTTTAAACAAATATACAATATGCAGGCAGACAAAGCAGGAAAACGGCCATTCAAATGTATAATAAAAAAACTAAAAACTGACTATTTCCAGAAAACTATGAAGCGCCTCAACTAAAAGGAATGCATAATGAAATTCTAATCTAATACAGGTCAAAAATGTAAAAAGGTTATAAACCTTAACAGGAAAAAATAAAACAACTTTTACTGGCCATTCCTGTTGAAATGAGAATCATAAAGTAACAGAAAAGTGGCTACAAACCCACTTAGAGCACCAAACAGAGAGAAAATAAAAGTCCATTTTCATCTCTGTTATTATCATAAAATCCTGTGTAACTACAGGTCAAACTGCTGGTGGCAGAAACAGAATTCTTTATAAACTGCAGATGTCCTGTACATAAAAAAATTTCACTGGAGTTGCACTAGTTCTAAAGACTCTTCTGTTTTAGCCTACCTACTGTATGTATTCAATCTGAGATAGATAGTCTCTTTCTGTAACCCTTGATTATTATTGGGCACCAAAGATAAGAAAAGCAAGACGGGGTACAAAAATGCAAAATTTCAACAGTAATGGCAATGTTTTTGTTTCAGTCCAAAAGGGTCCTGCATTCTCTCCCCCTTCAGTGATTTGACAAGTCTTTGTACTTAATCTGGGGGCAGCAAATCATGCAAGCGAAATCTGTCTCTGATGTGAGGTCGGACATCTTCATTCTGTGTGGAAAAAAAAGAGACCTTTTTTAAAAAGCTACATAATTTCAAAGATATGATCCTTATAACATTAAAACAGCTTTACTCTGCAGAGGAAATGTACTATTTAATTTCATGATTTACATTATTTTGCTCGCCAAATACAGTCAGCCTTCTATAGCCACTGGTTCCACAGCTGTACACTCAACCATCCTTGGATCAAAAACATTCAGGAAAAAACTGCATGTGTACTGAACATATATAGAGTTTTCCCCTGTCTTAATTACTAAATAATACAGTATAACAAATATTTATTTACATTGTATTAGGTCTTATAAGTAATCCAGAGATAATTTAAAGTTTATTGGATGTGTATACGTTATATGGCAATACTACTTCATATTATATAAGGGACTTAAGCAGATTTTGATATCAACAGGAGATCCTAGAACCAATTCTGGATGGACTTCAAAGGATTATTGTACAGAAATATAACACAGATACAGTTAACTTGTAAGATAGATGAGAGGATTAAGCCATTAAATCTTACTTTCCTCTTAAAATTGACTGGTGCAATACTTGGGAGGATGAGGCAGGAGATCAAAAGTTAGAGGCCAGCTGGGCAACTCAGTAAGACCCTGTGGCAGTAGTCCAGTGGCAGAATTCCCCTGGGTTCAGTCCCCACTACTGGGGGGAAAATGCTCATAGAGACCAATGGTGGGCAGTGAAGTCTGGGGTTCAGAACTCCAGGTGAGATTCTACATCACTGCATTCTAACTCCAGTCCTATAATTCTTTGCCAAAACCTATTGAGGAGGGAGAGCCCTCTCCTTGTCCTTGGTCTCCTCAGTGGTCTGGGACTTTCCATTTGTTTCTGTGATGTATCTCTTCTCTCTTCCCTTCCATTAAAGATCTTCCCCTAATCCTTTGGGCCAATTTACTGGTCACTGATTAATTTCCCTTGAATACCAATTTTGTATAGAGGGACTTTCTTTAACCCCCACCTGCTGAGATCTCACACATCTGCCATGCAGCTGTGAACCTTGACTGTTACAGGTGATGACAGAACTTAAAAGACTCCTTCCTCTCTTCCCTAAATCACAACTAGCCTCTGGGATCTGCCCACATGTGTTCACCTAGTGACTCTCAAGCCACTCTAGAGGTTTCCCTTCTGTCCTCACTTGTTCAGTGAGAGTCTAGCTCATCCAACTCCGGGAAATAGAGTAGTTTTTAGGGAAGTTTCCATGTCTATACCTGCTACTCTTAACATGAACAGATGTGAGGATAAATTAAAACCATATTTTTGGCTCCCTGGAGCTATTCCTGATCTATAGGATTTACCTGCATCTCTGAAGTCCTAATTCACAGACCAAAGCCTAGTCCACTCATTTTGCCATCAAGGCCCCCGATAGCATTCTTGGTATCTGTTTTTGTATACTTTATTAGAAAGGAGTGTAAAAGAGCCACATAGACACTTTGCCTCTTCAGTATACAAATGTAAGTTGTAATATAGAATATGGCGTATGTTTTTGTTTTGTTTTTTCCTTTGGAGGGGAGTTCTATGGGGAATTAAACTCAGAGCCTTGTGCATGCTAGATAATACAGAGTATCTTTTATTTGATTATAAGACTAAGCCTAACTGATTTCTGCTGTAGATTTTTAAAAACTATTTCTTTAGACGTTGATGGACCTTATTTTATTCATTTATTTATATGTGGTGCTGTGAATCACACTCAGTGCCTCACACATGCTAGGCAAGCGTTCTACCACCAAGCCACAACCCCAGCCCCTCTGCTGTACATTTTTAAAAAGTTTATTAAAAACGTTAAAAAATCCTCAATCTTTTTGAAACTTTCCCCTAATCTCTCAGCAGTTAACTTTTAAAAACCAGTACACACAAAGCAAGAGATTTCCACATAGTTGACCAAAAAAAAACAATAAATTATACTTACCAGTTCTACAAGCTTCTCCAGAAATGGAATCAATTTTAGGAGTTCATTGTCATTTTTATCCATAAACCAGCTTTCTATAGGGATTCCATTAGAAAGCTAAAATGATAAATAAGTAAGTAAATCCTTAAGAGTAACGGTATGGACATACTTACATTTTGCCTAGTATGGAAAAGTTTGTTTGTTTTTTTTTTTTTAAAGAAGAAACAATAGATTCAAGGAAACATGATTTAAAAGTTCCTTTGAAAAGAAATGCTACCAGAGTTTTGTCAACTCAATAGTACAAGAGATAGAAGGAATAAACTAAAACCTGAAGTTTTTCAGCATCATTTTTCTTCTCAGTGAATATAAAGCTAACAAGTTTAAGTTTCATTAAATCAAGTTTTGCAAAGACCATTAACATAACTAAAAACATTCCTTTATGCACTTACACAATAGTTACCACTAGTACAGTGGTAGGCATTATGAATAAAGAGATATTGCCAATCTAAAAAGAGAACATTGTCAGACAGAGACAGACACTGTGTGTGTGTGTATATACATAAACACATAATATGTTTTTTTTAACAAGGGACTATGTCATGCCTCAGCCTCCTGAGTAGCTGTGACTATAGGCACACGCCATCATGCCTAGCTACCATTTTTCTATTCTCAACATAAGTTCTATCTACTAGAGCTACATCTTCAGTTCATTTTGTTGCGATGACATTTTGCTGTTGCTCGGGCTGGTTTCAAACTACTGGGTTCAAGAAATCCCCCACCTGATGAGATAGGACTACAGGTAAGCACCACTACACGTGGCTAAAATTCTTAAGAACTTATTTTTCTGTGGTATTTGAGATTGAACCCAGGGGTGCTTTACCACTGAGATACACCCCAGCACCACCATCACTCCCAGCCTTTTTTTTTTTTAATTTTGAGACAGGTCCAGATTGGTCTGGAACCTGCAATCAACCTGCCTGAGCCTCTCAAGCTGCTGGGACTCCAGATATGTACCACAAAGCCCAGCTTAAAGTCACATTTTAAAATATAAGCAAATAAAAAGGTAGGGACTTGGACTGGGTATGTAACTCAGTGGTTTATGCTGAAATTGTGCAAATCCCCCACCAAATGAACACACTTCAATGCCATATAATTTTGCCCCCCTTTTCTTACTATGGGCATTGTGAGACAGAAGTTAAGGGACAATCTTGTTCTAGCTACCCCTGACTCTGATTCGGCACTGATTTATTGCAAATCGAACCTCAGATATCATACCACACGGACATATCCATAGTATAAAATATATCTTGCAAGGATGATTCATGTTTACTTGTTTGTTCTAAGAAACATTAAGGAAGGATACAATTATGTTGACAAAATAGTCTTAATAGTTCAGAACGTTATAGCAAGTAGTCTACAACAACAAGGTCATTAGGCCTATTATAATTCTCAACATGCTTACAATTATTGGTTTAATTACTGGTAAGTGTTATTAAATGATGTACTATCTTATAGCTCCTCCTTATTCAGATTCAGATTTACTACTCAAATTCATTATTTTTGGCATTTCTAATTACAAAAGATGACACATAAAACCGGAAAATTCCACCAGTGAAAATTGTTTTTCCCCACATCATATTCTTTTTGGCAGTAATTTTTCTTCATTGTATTTTTTCCAATCTGAGTTTGTTTAGCAATCCTCTTCCTACCTGATATGCAAAGGCTTGTGGTGAGTTGTCAATTATTATAGTTTTTGAAAGATCCCTTCCAAGGATATTTAAGTCCTTTATATAGTTTCCTTGTACACAAACACAATGTTCACGGAAAAGTCGGTGCCTAGACACAAAAATAAAAGAAAATTAAAAAAACAAAAAACAAAAATCCCTTTTAAAAAGTACTTCACATACTGAAACATGTACACATACATATACCATAGGCTTTACAGAATAAGCCTTATTATTTTCTCTCACTAAGGAAATTCAAATATAATACTGGGCCTAAGCTTTGGGCTACAGTTTTATAAAAAAAAAAAAAAAAACAAACTTAGCAATTATTGAAACCTTACAACCCAATATTGCCATTCCTTAAAGAACTTGGGGTTATCCAAAAACATTAAATTATAAAGGGGAATTAAAAATTCTAAATTGTTTTTGTAATTTATTTACCCAGGAAAGCTCAGTTCAGATGCAGCATCTGGTTGTCAGCGAGGTCTTGCTTTTTAACCAATTTTCCAGATGGTTGACTGAGGCACAAGGAGGTCAAGTGACTTCCCAAAGTCACATAAGTCAGTGGTTAGCCCCGCATTGGAACCCAGGATCCTCCTGGCTCCCAGTCCTTTGCTCTAACCAGTAGACCACACAGCCTCCCTATCCCTGTACATGCCAGAATAGAAAATATAAGAAGGAATGTTTTTGTGTTGGCATCTTAAAAAAATGATTGTTTTTTTTTTTTAGTTTTCGAGAAAACGTGCTGCTGAGGCCAAAACATTCCATCATTTCAACTTTTCCTAAACACCCCTATTTCTTTTAGAGTGAGTGTGTGTGTGTGTGTGTGTGTGTGTGTGTGTGGCTATTTAATAAGGGACTGAATTAAATGGTAAAATTCAGATTTACGTATTATAAACTGATGTTTCACTGATTTTTGGCTCTTTAATGCCACATTATTTTAAAAAGCTAGTAAAGCTTTTATAATAATACTTAAATACTACTTATACAATCTCCATTAACCTTCAAAATATTAATCTCTTACATTACTAATAATTGATAATACTGACTTTTTCACCTTGAAACACTCCATCACTGTATACCTTAATAATTGACACTTTGTCTTTCCTTGTTTCTTAACTCCTATAAACAATTTCTCAGGAAATAGGGACTACTCATACCTGTATTGCTTTTTTTATTTCAACGATTTTATTTGAAAATGTTTCTAAAATACATTGAATGCGTCTTTGCCTCTTCAGCAGAGGTTTCTTTTTATTGTTTGACTACTGGGGGTGAATGCTATGAACAGTCTATTTACTACCCTGCAGAGCTGTAATAGAGAAGTGTTTTCCAATATGAATGTGGAGATGGCCACTTGCCCCAATACAAAATGACCCTAAGCTACTACAATGTTTGTTTATTTGTTGTACTTGAGTCTTTTCTGTTTCCCTGCATCCTGCATCGTAATATGACCATCAGTTGAGACTTGCTGATTTTAATGGGTTTGCCCTTTGTTTCTGATATACTATAAGTGGGGAAGCCATACTCCTAAGCTAAAAAAATTTTGTATAAAGCAAGAATGTACAGGTTCAAAATGAAGATCAGAGGGACTATATAAATAAAGCTCATAAACTGAAAATATGTGGGTACTGAGAAATCACTTTGTTGCTTATAGGCTTTTTTTTTTTAGTATGGCCATTTTTAAAAATTCTGATTTGTTATACTTGATGGCAGAATGAAATTTATTTTATATTACATACATAAAGCACAATTTTTCAAGATACTGATTTTATACAAAGTATTTTCATATTATTCATGTCTTATACATGTACTTATGGTAATAATGTCTAATTCATTCCATCATCACTCCTACCTGCCTCTTTTCCTCTCCCTCCCCTCATACCTGTATTTTTAATTATGCAATTTCGGGGGGGGGGGGAGTATTTTCTACCCACAAAATCTGTCACAGCTCAACAAAAATAAACTTATATACACATACCCCATTTTAATTACTCAAATCATCATCTGCTCTAAAAGGTTTAAAGACAATTCTACTTTGGAAAAATGACAGCAAATATTTTACTTCTATAGACATTCAGATAATGGAAATTGGAGAGGCAGGCACAGCCTGTAATCCCAAGTCACTGTGTTGATGTCTCTTTTGCCAACAGTGCCAAATGCACTAATACAAAAGACAAATGAACATGACACTATGGTTACTTTAATTACACTATAAACTCTCCAGGAATCTGAGGACCAAGAGTAGGAATTTCCAGTTTAAGAAAAATCTACTTGTGCCACTCATTTAATAGCAGATCTTCCATGTCAACAAATCTGCATTTGAATTAATGGGATTCAGAGATTACAGGAATTTTCAGTCTACCCCACTGTCTCTAAAGGTGAATTCCCCATAGCATTCTATTCAAATCTACTATTCAAAATGTTCTTCTGGTCAAATTTTTTCAAAATTACAACTAGAGGAAACAAATTTATACTCCCCAATATGTTGATTTTTTTAAAGCTAATTTTTAAAAAGGATGTTAATTTATAACAATGTAATAGCATAATGAAAACTCCAAAGGTTTATGTTGCTTATCATTGTTTCATAGAACATTATACACGCTGAACAGAAATCTTTAGAATGAATGAAGTCATCAAAACAAAATCATTTTTATACATTTATTAAAATCAGGTAAAATGAGCATAAATTACAATATACTTTTGTGAATAGAAAATACTATTTCTCAAGTGTATGTCTCCAGCTGATCCTTTAGATTAAAAAACAAGAGAATAGTTTTATATAGAAGGAAAAACCCTGAAATGAGGACATTAGAAAAAACCTTTCTGTATAGTTGTAACCACTCAATAATAAAGGAATCATTAACAGCAGAAAATTAAGTTTAGGTTTTTTCATGAAGACAATATGGGACAAAGTGCTCAAGAAAATTAATACTTAGCTATTAAAGCTTTTATGAGCCTTCTGTGTCATCTCCACTCTTGGTAAAAAATTCAAAAGACTTACTCCTATATCTTTTTAATTTTTTTATTAGAGACGGACATAATACCTTTATTTTATTTGCTTATTTTTATGTGGTGCCAGGGATCGAACCCAGTGCCTCACACATGCTAGGCAAACACTCTACTACTGAGCTATCACCCCAGCCCCTAACTCCTATATCTTAAAGGATGCAACAAGATTGTTGCAGTCTTAACTGAAGTCTCACTTCAGATGACAGAAATAATTAAACTGATTTTCAAAATGTTTTAAAAATCACCCAATGTACCCCTGGCCTAACCAGGAATGCATGCCATCTTCTGGTTCAGGCACATGAACCAGAAGTTTAGTTACCTGAGTAACTAAATCAAAATTTTGTTTGCATGTGCTCTGCCACTGAGTCACATCCCCAGCCCTGACTAAACCAACTTTCATTTCCAATTAAATTTATGTATCATTTTCATTCCATGGAAGATAAATTTGATCTTGAAAAAACACAAGAGTTCAATTTGATCATTTCTGTTAACATCAACTCGTTTATGCCATTAAAAAAGGAATACAACATGCATTCTCTCAGAAAAATAAGGTCAAACATCATGCTCACAGTGGAAAATTCAACACAACCCCCCATTCCCCCATCCCAAAAGAAATGAGGATATAGATGTCACATTGAATAAATACATTTGGTCTTCGTATCCTTTAGAAAGAACGTCTGTCTGGAGTTATGGTTAGGAACTCTAAGAATTTTGGGGCTTAAGAAAATTCATTTATTTTTGCCATTCAACATAGTAAATCTCTATATAGCCAACTGAAAATGGCTATTAAAATTAAATAGAATCATCATAATTTCATAGATCAGTGTGACAGACATTTCCACTATTTCTTAATTAAATTTACCTGACCAGTTGCTTTTTAGGGTCTAGTATGTTCAGTAACTTGTCTGCATACACCTTCTTAGAAGCAGTAAAAAGAATGATCTACAAATTCAGGGGAAAAGAAGGAATCATTATACATGATCTAAATATGGGTACTATATTGAATAAAATGAAAATACGTATGTAATTAGGCTCAGCACATTTACCTCATACATCTGAGACATTCGTTCCAGGAATTCCCTGAAGAATGGTCTTAATCTCACATAAACCTAAAGAAATGCAAAGATAAGTTTTCAGCAAATAAAAAAAAAATAAAACCACTTATTTTTAATATCTGTTGTGGTCTAACTTTTGATATGATTAAAAGTTTCATATTTTGGAGTAGAAATATTTACTAAGTACCACTCAAACCAAATATATTTCACATATAAGAAACCACTTAATCTTTTAGTGGAATAATCATCATCACTGGTGATCACTTCATTTTTGATAGTTATATAAAAGCATACAATGTAAAAGTTCTTCATCAGAATATAATTTTAACAGACATTTAAACTAAAAGTAGAGAGCTCCCCTCTGGGAATTTGATCCACCAATCAGCTCCATCTTCCAGCCAGGTAGCATCCATCCAATTATTAGGCAAGTTGTATGTCCATATCTAGCTGACCTGTCTCAATGACCTTCCTCAATAATTATTCAGAATTTCTTCTCAACAATTATCACCTGTTAAAATCTATTTAAAATTTTTATTAAGGCAAACAATATTCAAGAAGGAATATCTGGACTGGTGGGCTTAAATAACCATTTTTTTGGAAATCAGAATTGCTCTTCTACATTTAATGATTTAGATATAGCATATAAATTAGTGCCACTGGGCTATTTCAGATTAAAACACCATTTCTCAGGCTGGGGTTGTAGCTCAGTGGTAGAGCGCTTGCCTAGCACACGTGAGTACTGGGTTCAACCCTCAGTGCCACATAAAAATAAATATATATTGTGTCCATCTACAACTTACACATACACACATACCAGTTCTCAAAACCTACTACTCAATATCAGGAAACACTATAGTAACCAAATAGCTACCTTATGTGTATTTTCTTACTTTCTTTTTTTGGTACTGGGATTGAACTCCCAGGGTTGTTTAACCACTGAACCGTAATCCTAGCCACTTTTTTGCTGAGGCTGGCTTTAAACTCATGATCCTCCTACCTTAATCTCCTGAGCTGCTGGGATTACACGTATGTGCCACCACGCCCAGCTATTTTATTATTCTGTGTCTGGCTTCTTACTTACATTTACTGTTGCTCTTGTAACATACTTAATACTCAAAAAGCAGAGAAATATAAAACCATGAACCACCTAACACTACTTACAAAAGATTGTGATTTCTCTAAATTGTATTCATTTTTTGATGTTTATAAAAAGAAAAATTTTGTACTCTACTGAAAGGTAACATTAACTACATATACCATAATGAATATTTATTGAACCAGATTCCGTGCATTCTGATTTTTTTTTTTTCTCCCTTAAAAAGGCCTATGGTGCCCAGCAGCCCAGGAGGCAGAGACAGGAGGATCAAGAAGAGGTCAAAGCCAGCCTCAGCAATATAGAGGTGCTAAGCAACTCAGTGAGACCCCGTTTCTAAATAAAATACAAACTAGGGCTGGGGATGTGATTCAATGATCCAGTACCCCTGAGTTCAATCCCCAGTATCCCCCACTTTTGGGGCCTTCGGTGGCTACAAATCAAATTTAGGCTTAGTGGAGTTTAGTTCAGGCATCTACACAAAAAATGTTCCCAAGACAACAAAAATCCCAGTTCTGGGAAATGTTTTATGGCAAAGCAGGGGTAAAAGGGGAATCATGCAAAGGACTTCTCAGAGGTAGGGATGTCCTTTCTACATTCTTTTTTTCACTACCCAGTCTACCAATTTTTGTACCAGGGAATGAACCTAGAGATGCTTAAACCAGTGAGTCATATCCCTAACCCTTTTTATTTTTTAATTATGGAAACAAGGTCTTGTGAAGTTGCTTAGAGCCTTCCTAAATATCTGAGGGTAGCCCCAAACTTGTGATTCTCCTATCTCAGCCTCCTGAGTCTCTGGGATTACCAGCACAAAACAATGCTAAATATATAGTAGGCATGTGACAAAAATCAAGTGAAATGCAACTCTTTAAAGTTAGGCAATATAGACAAATAGAAGCAATCCTACACGACTATACAACTGTTTGTATAACTGTTTGTTATTCTATAATAATATCACTCTGTTCTAATCTCTAAAATGATATACTTATTTTTAATCCCACTATTTAGGCATTTCATCTAAATTTCAAGACTAATCAAAACCAAAGTGAGCCATACACACCCCATCCCCAAGCAGATAAAAATAACCAAATTCTCAATATCCAATCACTTATTTGTGATAAGGCATTAAAAAAACAAACAAAAAAAGTTAACTATAGTTGCACCTCTTCCTCTTTCTTTTTTGGTACCAGGGATTGAACCCAGAGGCCCTTAGCCACTGAGCCACATCCCCAAGCCTTTTTATTTTGAGGGTCTCACCAAGTTGCTTAAGGGCCTCACTGAGTTGCCGAAACTGGCTTTGAACCTGCAATCTTCCTGCCTCCCTAGTTGCCAGGATTATAGGTGTGCACCACTGTGCCCAGCTATACTTGCTCTTCTAAATAATATTAATATTTCAAAATTATCTGGTATATTTTGAATATCCAGGTTTGGAGCCTGGATTGAAAACCAAACATAATCTTATTTGTTTGTTAAGGCAAAAAATTACATTTCACTGGCAAACTTTTTTTCTAACATCCTCATTATCACTTGCTCAATATAGTCAAGTAAGAAAAACAGGGTTCTGACATTTGAGATTTGTTTCCTCTGTACACAACACACTTCCATTGCAGAGGAATACTCCCCCAACTCCCTCCAAACCAAAACAAAACCAAATTAAGTGATATTCCACAACTTCCAACAACTTCCCAATTAGGTCAACGATTCATCCTTCATTATGCATTCTATTATTTTCATTATTTTTTTAAAAAAATTTTTTAGTTGTCAATGAACCTTTATTTTATTTATTGATACGTGGTGCTAAGAATCGAACCCGGTGCCTCACACATGCTAGGCAAGCGCTCTGCCACTGAGCCACAACCCCAACCTGTCATTATTATATTTATATATATAATGAAAATAAAATTTTTTTTTAGAATTTTTTTTAAACCCCTTCTGTGGTTCTGGGGAGAGAACCCAGGGACTAATGCCCCGTATGCATACAGGGCATGAATCCCCAACACACAACTTAAAATTTGACAGTGCTTGCTGGCAGCACACATCTCTAATCCCAGAAACTCAGGAGGCCGAGGCAGGAAGACAGCAAGTTCAAGACCAGCCTTGGCAACTTAGAGAGACCCTGTGTCCTAGGAGGATGGAAGGGAGGTTAAGGATATAACCCAGAAGTACAGCACTCCAGTATTAGAAAATAAATTTGAGTTTGCTTTGAAAATGTGTTTATTTACTGAGAATGAAAGGTAGCACTACACACAGAGGAATATATTGCTAGAGAGTTTCTTTAACATGAAAAGAGGAAGAAAAACTTGACTAAAGTTCCTATCAGAATAGATTCACCATTTGAACAGAAAAGTGCTTCAGGATAGACTGAGTAGCGAAAAAAAGAATGTAGAAAGGTCAAAATAACGAGTAGGTCTGAAGTTAGGACCATGTGATACAAAGGTAAGATCTCAGAAGTAGAAATAGGCCAGCAGGGCCTAAGTCTTTTGTATATTAAAGATAAATGTGACCAGAAATACATACAAGAAGCGCTATGTATTATCCTGCAGATACAGAGTATGTATAAAATCAAGAGCTTAATTTGTGTGGTTATTTTTTTTGGGGGGGGGGGGGGCGAGGAGGATTGAACCCAAAAGCACTTTACCACTGAGCCAAATCTCTAGGACTTTTGTTTATTTTTTGAGACAGGATCTCTCTACATTGTTTAGGGTCTTGCTTAATTGCTAAGGATGGCTTTGACCTCCTGCTGCTGGGATTATAGGCCTGTGCCAGGATACCCCACAGCACCCAGCAAAAGAGTTTAATTCTTGAGAATATCATTACTTACTATGTTAAGATACACAAATATATATATACACACGTAGACAAATGCTTCAATATCTATTCCACAAGGTGCCTTTAGATCTATTTTTCTTCTAACTTTACTATCATATGAAGATTCCTGTTCTGAACTGCCTACTTCCCATTTTCCATCAACCATCTTTCTTCAAACTTGTGACTCTTAACTATGTAGTCTCCCAAAGAGCAAAAGATCATTTCAGTCTAGTATACAAGTTCTTCGAAACCTACAGTTTCTATCTATACTACAAAGAGTTTAAATCTTTTCTCAATAATAAATTTTTTTTTAAATGTCAAAAGTTTAAAAAGCAATGAATATACAAAGAAAGAACATTACATTAACAGTTCATTGATACTACTTGGAATGAACAATACTTCACATCCTGCACTTTATTTGGTAGTTAAGACAATGAGAATTTCCCAATTGTAAATATGTAGTACTAAACTTTAGGTTAACAGAACTAGACTAAACAAAACGTAGTCATTTAAATAGAAATCCAATGGTATATAAATTATACCTCAAGAAATCTAAGTTATTTTAAAATGGAAAAAAAAAAACCAAAATGTTAATTTATAATTTCAGTCCTTTCTTTATTGTGATATAACTATATATTTAATTTACATTTTAAAGAAATGTCAGAAATGCAAAATACATAACTAGAAACCCACTTATAAATTGGTTAAAAATATTGTGTGGTATGTTTAAATTCAGGCTGGGGTTCTGACCCAGTGGTAGAGTGCTTGCGTAGCATGCACGAGGCACCTGGGTTTTATCCCCAAGCACCACATAAAAATAAAATAAAATAAAAGTCTTTGTGTTCATCTACAACTAAAAAAATTTTTAAAAAATGTTTAAATTTAATCAAGTTATTTGTATTGCTTTATCAAACTGTAATCTTTTATCATAATAATATGATCAAAAACAAAATACAAAAAACACTACTCAAAGATAGGCAATTTCAAACTCTTAGCAAATGGTTAATATTTTATGTAAGTCTTTTTAGGAAACGGCACTAAAGCTTGGACAATATGGCCCGACATCAAAAGGGAAATGTCTTTGATACTTTTCCCATAATATCCTTTGAACTTATTTACATTATAGCAATCAGTTTAAAAACCAATCGATTCA